AGTTCTATCCGAGGTAATAGAATTCAGATTAATTGCAACTTCTTACTAAATTATCATATGTTGATAGGATTAGTATGTAATTATGAATGGCTACAAAAAAAGAAAAACAAAGTAATCTGTATCGCTGACAGCACCTTATGTGTACTATCGTGGTGAGAATAGCTTTCAGGAAATCGCAGTTTTCCTTTGTTTTGGTTTAATTACAGATGTAATCACTTTTTTTTGAGCGTACCCTCAGTTGTTATGACAGTTACTCTCTCTGATTTTCTAGATGTGCAATCTCTAACTATGCATTTTTTTGAGAGACCAGGTTCATCATTTGGTCTTTGCTGCTGATTGAAAGATGTTTAGAAATGTCTATCCCTTTTTTTTCCCTTTGAAGTTATCATAAAGATGGTGTTTAAGCTGTTGTAAGGGTAGCCAATATGTATATTGCTTGGTATCTTTTAGTTAGGGGAGAGCTGTATTTCTTCCTGTGCGCAGGACTTTTCTCATTTTACAAGGTCTTTAAAATGACTTGTCGTATTACCTGCAGAATTTGTAGTTTGTATCTGGTTTATCGTTGCCATCTGTGCTTTTCCTGCAGGTTATATTTTGCAGTACTCTGAAGATAACAGTGAGCAGTGGGGTAGTTTTCCCATTAGCCCTAGTGAGCGGTCCTACCGTTTAGAAACATTGAAATGTGGCACTTGGTACAAGTTTACGTTAACTGCTCAGAATGGAGTGGGGCCAGGACGCATCAGTGAGATCATTGAGGCTAAAACCCTTGGAAAAGGTATGTTGATTTCCACCTTCTTTTCCCATCTAAAGCTCATGCATTCTGCTATACATCTTGGCTTGGTTAGAATATGGCTGTGGATATTTTAATACTGGCTTTGAAAACATTTCCGATTTTGTCCATATTGTGACAGAAGAAGCTGTCACTGTGGGACTCAGAGTGCAAACCAGTTTATATCTTCTCCTTATTTCGTTAATACTTTTGTTCTAAGATGGGTTGATAGTCACTCAGGGCGGGAGGCTCATGTCTTCACTACTACATGCTATAGCAGTTCCCACTACTGCTGCTGCCAGGAGAACTGTTTTCCTTCCCTGGTGTAAAAAATGTAGTGTTTTATTTGTCTAGATGCTGAAGGAAGATGGGGATCACATTCATGTGCAGTGCAAATAGAGCCAATATCTCATTTCCCCTCCAAGCTGGCATTGCAGGAGCCACACAAGTAGCACACTTTGAACAGGATAACTGCTGTGGCATAGAATCACAAATGCTCTTCACTTTCAGTGGCACCTCTCATACTGGTTGCTGAGGGTACAGTTCCACAGTGTGACCATGTGTCACAATTATGAACAAATTTAGGATCGGACTTAAAGAGGCATTTTTGAAAGTCTCCCCGGAAAGTCCACAGAGCAGAGAAGCTTTGCATAATGCCCTAAAGATCACATCATCTTGCACCTCCTCACCCTGGTGCAAGAAATACTCTGATTTGGGAGCTCTTACAAAATAAAGTTTGTTGTGGTAGTTATGTCTGTTCTTCATGTTCTTCATCAGACCTGTCCCACTGTTGATTTCCAAAGCATCACAGCAGTGTGGACGTCTTATTTAACAGTCAGTGGCATAAGGAAACTCTGGTATGCAGTAAACGTGAATGGTGTGACTTACTGAAGCTCAGGAAGACTACAGATCGCTGGCACACGTGCTGAGATTATCAGTGGTCAGGGAGGGCGATCTATTGACTTTACAGAAAGGGATGTTAAGAGGCGGAGATGTGAATGTTCTGATTTTCTGTGCCTGAAATGTGGGGGTGAGGGGAGGTTTACACATGCTTCAGGTAGCATGCTTCTTGGGAAAGCAAATCTCTCAACCTTTTGAGTTTCTCTGGGACTTGATATATACGCCTGGAAACCACCTCTGCAACATTTACAGACCGAGCCAGGTTTTGTGTGATTTAGAATGTTACAAATTGTTCTTACTCATATGAGAGTTGCACTCTCAACTCTTCAAGTCTAAGGTGTCGCTCCTGCTACCACTATCCCTGTATTAAGTAGAACTGTCAAAAAAACTTTAATGTATATATCAGCAGAAACCAACATTTGATCCCAAAGCAGGAAAGTGTGCTGAAATGTTGACCCCTTTCTGAGTGGAAACATCTTAATTCATAAATACAAAACTAAATATATGTGTACAGTATTTTCAAATAGAACACATGTAATTTCAGCATATTAATATTTCAACAATTTTCCTCAAAACTGACATTTTTCTCCAAATGAAAGCCTGTGTTCTCTTAAACAAATAGTGTCCAAATCCACTTCAAAAGAAGGCTAGGACACTAATGGACAATTCCTGTTTACTCCAAATTTACTTCTCTTTTATGTTATTTTTACGTAGTATTCTGAATCCTTTATTTCCTGCATAGCAACGAGCAGGGACTTTTGCCCGGTATCAGGTGTCTTGCTCTAGATTTTCAAGCTGACTTATGCCAGTCCATGCAAATGGGTCAGGCCCGTCGTGCAAAGGTGTAACGATATTTTTCTGCATATAGATTTGAAAATGTGGGTGTGAGTCTGGCACAAAGTACAAAGTATAAAGAAACATTGAGGAAGCGGTAGAAAAAGGCGTAGAATATATTGACTAGCAAGATGTTAAATTTAAAATGAAATTAGGACTATCCTAGCAATTATTCTCTTAAACTTGTATCTTTGTGAGTCTAATATCTATGAATACAGAAACATTTCACTTAAAATACGTCATTCCTTTCAGAGCCACAGTTTTCTAAAGAACAAGAGCTCTTTGCTAGTATCAACACCACAAGAGTGAGACTCAATCTTATAGGCTGGAATGACGGTGGTTGTCCCATCACTTCTTTTACTCTGGAGTACCGGCCGTTTGGGACAACAGTCTGGACAACTGCTCAGCGGACATCCCTTTCAAAGTCCTACATACTGTATGACCTCCAGGAGGCAACTTGGTATGAACTGCAAATGAGAGTATGCAACAGCGCCGGCTGTGCAGAAAAACAAGCTAAATTTGCAACACTCAATTATGATGGTAGTAAGTATATCTATATCTTTGAATTTACTTGCTGGAGATACAGTTTTTAGTCTAGTTTCCTGCATGACTATGCTGCTCATGTAACTTTCTGTCTTTATTTTTTCCCACAAAACCCTTTTTTGAAACTGCTAGCCATGGTGATAGAGGGGTAAGAGCCTCGAAGATGTAAAATGTCTACAAATTTCATGACGGTAGGCAGCAAGGTAGAAAAGAGGAATCATATCTTTGGCCTCACTGATGAAAAGTGCCACATGACAGTCAGTCAACCATGAAACAAGTAACTGTAGGAAACCAGGTTTCATTAGTTGCAGTGCTCAGAGAAGCATTTGCTAGTATTTTATGCATCTCTTCCATGAAATTTTTGTTGTCCTTACAATTGGTTCCTGCAGCCATTCACGAACGTGACTGGCCTCATTGCTATTCCATGCAATGTCCTTGTGACACAATTCAAAAGCCATTATGTGACACCACAGAACAGCTAACTAGCTTGTCTTCTGGGAGAGCCTCTGGATAGCATCCTCCAAGGGCAAAGCAATGGTGATGCTATTATCCCTATTTTTACACAGCGAACAGTGAAACTAATGGTTGTGACAGATGGCTCTGTCATACCCAGCAGTAGGACATAGGGGTTGAAGGAGCTGTTGCATCCTGCCCTCCTGCCAGAGGTTCTTGCCCACCCCTGCAAAAGCCAGAACAAGAGGGCAAGAGCAAACACGCGGATTTGTCAGCCACTCTAGCTCATAAACTATTTATTGAAACTGATGGTGGCACATACGTGCTTCTGCGGACTCTACAGTGGGAAATGGCAGTATTTCTGGCAAGAAGGCGGGACAGATGGCTTCAGATGGTAATCTCTTAAATTGCTGTAGCGTGAATTGCCAGAGCTTTTCTGGAGAGATCCAGTGGAATAGGTTGTTATGTTGCCAAGGATATTGTGCTGTATTGTGCAATCAATTGGCTACTTTTGTAGTGGTAAGTAGAACAACAGGACTGGTGAGCAAGTTGAAACACTGATCTGACAATTGCCCAGCTAAAGCACCAAATTGCTAATCATTCATGATTAACAGCTCTCCTTAGCATGGTTTCAATCCACATAAACCAGCATTCTCCAATACAATACCTATGTATGGCTCGGGAAAAGCAGGAAGCAAGTGACCATTCCCTGTCATCAGTAGAGGCTGTGAATCAGGCAAGGTTTAAATCCCTCCCCTTTACACATTCTCTTATGCTTTCCCAGCCTTTGCACTAGATACCTGTCAGTTCTTGCAGATAACTAACAATATAAGCCCTCATGACCGTTTGCAAACAGCACATGACCTCAGGTTTGGGGTGTGAAATTACATTTTGGTGAGCTGCCACACAGTCCTCACATTATTTCAGAAACTCCAAAAAGTTAAGAAAAATATTTTGTCTTAGCATTACAGAGGCCCATAGGAAACCAAAACCCAAGTACTAACTGTGTGAATGCTGTCAGATCTTGCCAGGTGGCCATAAGACCTGAAAATGGTCCCCAGACTTGTTTGATTGAGTGGTGTAGATATTGGCAATAATTATTTGTTCAAGGACTATGAGTTTACTTCTTGGCACTTTACTTAGCCTATCCTCATTCCTTTCCAGTATCTTTCTACAGACAGCATCCAACTTTCAGTGATCCTTTTTTTTGACATCCACAATTATTGTTACATATATATGGCTGGGGCAAGCAGTCTCAAGTCACATATTAAAATGCGACGATATGGAAAGGCAGGTCCAGAGCCTTAAACTCATACCAGTAGCAGTGAAATCAAATATATTCTCATAATGAACTGATTTTAAATGTTATTAGACTCTGCTTTTGGGTTAGGTGGGGATACATAGCTTGATTTCACATGCTGTGATCTGCATGCCACTTGATCTTGTGTGTTGCTGTATGGCATCTTTAAAAGTGAGAAAATGAAGCAGTAAAAATGATTATAGTATTAAATTTACTGGCCCACGACCAGACAGAAAATTTCTCATCGAGGTCATTGATGGTTTTGTTTGTCAAGTGACCTTTGCCAAGACTAGATTGTGCCTTAGAGAGGCAGCATGATCTCAGATAGTGACTGCAAGATTGAGAGTGGAAAACATGGCTGGAAAAACACATTTCAGTTTTCATGTTTTCTGAATTTGTTATATTTGTTGGGGGCCTAAAACCAAAAACTGATTATTATTGTCATCAATGAAATCAAAACTCCAGTGTGTTTCCACACAGATTTCACAGAAGAGCTATTTGAGTGCTTCTAAACAAAAGGTATCCCTACAAACTCACAGTTCCTTATTCATTCATTGTAGGCTATGTAGATTTAAAGGTGCTTCAGCACTGGAAAATAGTTTCTCATTATAAATCAACATTTCCTATCAATAATTTCTACAGATTTTTTTGCTTTCATAGGGAGTGAATTTTTCATTTACAAAAATCGCGCCAATGAAAAACTTCTGACTGTCTCTGCTTTTGAGTGCTAACCCTACCTCTATGATTGATTCCCTCTGTGATGTGAGTTTTGTCCCTTCCAGTTTTTTTGGGGTCCCAGGCTCCCTTAGGTTAAAATAAATATAATGATAGTTTTTTTGAAGATTTGATAATACTTGTATAAAAGTTCTAGGTACAAAATACTAAGAACAAATTTAGTAGTATTAGTAGTCTTAAGATAAATCCTTTGTAAACTTGGTAGAAAACCTTGAGTTTCGTGGTTTGTCCTTTGTTTTGTTTGGACTGCAATAACTCATGTGTATCTGTGATAGAGCTCCTGAGAAATACCGCGGTTAAGGATCCTGTATCTTAAATCTCTTCATGGTGACCTAGGTCAAAAGGTTGATGGCAGATCTACGTGCAACTTTGCTTTCCGTATTTCAGCTAACCATTTTAAGCTTGCAGAATTTTGTGACCTGCCTGCCCCTTATTTTTCAGAACATTTGCACTCAATACTTAGAGTGATATTTTTAGCTATGCGCAGCTGTAGTAGGTAGGGCTGCAGAAGAACTTCCTGGCTCTGAGATCAGCTCCTGAAAGCCCTGACATTAAATCAGCTCAGCATGGTAGCTTCTCTGAACTGTGCTAATTAATTCTAGCCCACAAGGGGACTTCCTACCATGAAGAACAGTTAAAACAGAGGAAAACACTCAACAGTCCTAAAATCACCCTATGCAATGGGAGATACTGGATGAACTGCACCGCAAGGGAAGAGTGGGTCAGAGACACTCAAACTCCTATGAAGTATCAATGTATTTCAGGGCACCACAGGGTAGTGGTGAACTGACCTGAAATAAAACCTTTCAAAATTGTTTGGGACTTTGTTCTGGAAAAAGCGTTGACTTTTCCACTCATAACTACAACTTAGAATGACAGCTAATTTTTAAGTAATGTTTTCCTAATGGGTAGCAGGTTTAGGTTTTGATAATTTCTGATTGCTGAATATTCACATATGAATAATGTAAAGGTTATATAACTCCATGAAACTTGCAGTATATATTTTTAATTAAAGTTATACTGCTTGTTTGCAGTGTTATGAAGCTTGCGCTTTACTTGGAAGAGCTATGGAATGCAATAATCGCTTGCCTAAACTCTTATTCTTTAACTACAAATGAGGCTACTCTTTTAATTTAACCTGCATCAAAATATTATGGAGAGCAAGGCATAATTTTAGGTAATATTGAAGCTAAGTGTCCTTAGCTAATGCTCTCTGTGTGCCTTTAATTGAGGGGAATGCTCTGTGTGCCTTTAATTGAGGGGAAAATTCTGCCTGTTAGTATTTAGGAGGATTTAAAGAAGGTCATTAGCATTTCCTTCAGGAATGTGCAGTTCTTTCCATTTCCTCATCTAATCATTTTCTTTGTCTTTAGAGTACTGCAAAAACTGTATCTCAGTTAAAACAGAAGAAAAAATCCTGCTGTGTGTTTATCTGAAAAAGCAATGGAAAATTAGAAAAAGATGGAAAATTATAGGAAAAAATGCAATGGAAAATTAGAAAAAGATTCAAAATGCAATTGTAAGAAAATAAATGTTCTGAAGTACCTGAGATAGCTTTCGATAGTTCTAACTTTTTTGCTTATTTCAATCCCCTTAGGGAAATAATCTTTTCATTACGTGCCACTCAAATAGCTCTTCTGAAAAAATACAGCATAGAAGTCTACATTTTCACTGTGGTTATGGCACCTACATTGCACTGCGTCATATCATAATTTTTTCTGATACCATATACTGCATAATGAGCTGTATCACACAATACAGCAATTAAAATGTAAAAAGGGATATGCCTGTTTTTCTGTCTCACCCTCGTATTCTTCTAGCAAGTAAGTAGCCACTTTTATGTTTCAGTACCTGGTTAAAATTGAATAGCTTCCATCGGTAGTCATCACAGTTCACAATGCTTGCATATTTCTACTCATTTTAAAGAAATTTGCATTTTATAACCTCATTTGTGGTTGCATGCAGCAGTTTAATAGTAGTCAGGAAATGAGTGAGAAGCCTTCCATAACTAAGCAGCCTTCCAAAGAAAGTACTATATTCTCACATCCTTTAGATGGAAAGAAAAAAAGAATAGGAAAGTTCAAGTATTACATATCGCCAGAAAGCCAGGCATATTCAAAATGCAAATATGTCTCAAAATGAAAAAAGTGAGCTGCCTGCCAATGGCTGTACTTTGTAGATTCATTTCCCTCATTTCGCTCTCAAAATCTGATCATTTCTATCCAGTGTTACGCTCCTGTTTTACTGATGAATATAATGTCAGATACTCTTAAGTGAATTAGTGTCAGATTGGCTATCTGAATTTAAGAACAATATCACTGCTGCACCCTTAAGACGTGATATAAAAATGCTTCTGCATAAAGGATTCATCTGATTTATGTAGCACAAAATGTACATTGAAGAAAAGAAAAGAAAAGAAAAGAAAAGAAAAGAAAAGAAAAGAAAAGAAAAGAAAAGAAAAGAAAAGAAAAGAAAAGCGCAGCAGAGAGCATAAATCTGTTGCAGCAGTGCTATTTTCCATAGTAGGGAGTAATCTAAATAGATAGCAGTTCTGAGATCTCTTACAGCTTTGTAATGATTTAACATGATTTAAAATTAGTGGTGGTATTTGACTGTGTAGTGACCATGGCTTTCTTTCCGAAATTTTGCTTCCAAAAGCAGGGCATGGTCAATTAATGCATGTGTTCTCAATTTCTGATAACCTGCGACTCTCTTCAATCAGTGGCTTGTTTTCAGTGTGACTGCTTATTTGTGCATGGCCGTTGCACATACAAGTATAGCATCCATCCTGAACAGGACAAATCCTCCTTAATGTTCTGCATGTGGTTGAAACATATAACATGCTATAGTCCCTGAGAACTCAATCTTTTGTCTTCATTAATAGGCATCTAATATCATGACACTGTTTCCAGGTACAATCCCTCCACTCATTAAGTCAGTTGTGCAAAGTGAGGAAGGGCTGGCAACCAACGAAGGGCTAAAGATGCTGGTGACCATTTCCTGTATCTTGGTTGGGGTCTTGCTGCTTTTTGTGATGCTGCTCATTGTGCGGAGGAGGAGGAGGGAGCAGAGACTGAAGAGGCTGCGAGGTAAGAAAAGAGCACTTGTTCCTACATATGCTTACTCCCCTAACATGAAAGGGCAATTAGGGCTGCACACAATCAAAGGATTTAAACACCAATTGACGTCGTTTTGCTGTAGTACATTACAGACATGAGGTAAAGCATATCTATTTTTTACAGAAATTCCTTCTTTTTCATTTTGCAGTCAATTTCTAAAAATGTCGTATCCGTTCTGTAAATTATGATTTTGCATGAGGGAAAAGAAAATAGCTCTCATGTGCTGCTGTTTGTTTGTTCATTTTTGGCTTTTTTTTTTTCTCCCTGGAATGGTCTCAACAACCTAAAATCATAATTTTTTCAAAGGGCTAAATCAGATGTTCTGACGATGTGGGGATTTCTGTTTTCAAGTAGATGCAAACCCTGATTGTAAAGTTATAAAATGAAAGCAGCTAAGTGTTAATAGGCTAGAAAACACATGCAGATATTCTCAGATGTGTCACCACCTCTTTTTCCCTATGATGCATTGTAGCAGAACTATCACAATGATGTTTCATTGTTCACTGCAAATGAAAAGGTTTTCAGATCGTCTGTTCAAGTCTTTATCTCATTTGCTTTCTTGATGACCTGTCCTTTTCTCTAATCTTTATTCAAATTCAGGTATTTGCTATCTGAGTGAGTTTTAGATCTATGAATTCATTCAGCTTTGTTGGTCTTCTAGTATATGCTCTAGCTGAGCCACAACAAGGTTTTGGACCCTTGCCCCCCTGCCACTTTGCAGATGGTGCTGCAGGTTTTCCACTGCGCCTGAATTTATAGTGTATGACAGCAGGCCTCACTTTTAAGGTATCTGGATAAAAAAGCCTTTCACATCACACACTGAATAATAATAGTAAGACAATTTGTCGTCCTCAAAATTGTGTCTGATAGTTTCCAAGACCCACCTAAATGATAGGTTATTTATATTTTAACCAAAATATGATCCTGATATTAAAACCAGGGCCAGCCTTGTGTACACGTTTCCTTCAGTGCCGTTTCTTTTCTCCTTAGGATCTGCTCTGCTCTCTTTTAGATTTCATTTGTCTTTTTGTAATGATACTTTGGATGTTTATGAGACAAAGACAGAGGTGCAGGGTCCTCAGGCATGGATAGTTTCATAGGTCTAGGAGGACAGCTAGACTTAATGGTTCAGAAACAGCTCTGGGAATCAAGACCTCTGGATTCTGTGGCTTGCTGTGTAATAACTTTCTCATTCAAGGTCTGTTAAGTCATTTAACCCTTTGCATTTGATGTTTTTCATCAAAAAAGTGGTGGCAGAAGGTGAAAAAAGTGTTATTATCTTATAGTCTCAGAAATATTGTGGAATTCCACGCAGTAATGAGAAGGATATTTTGTGCTCTTTGGCCTGAGAAAATCTTGGATGTGCACATCTAGTGTTTTTATTGTTAACTTATAAGTATTTGTAAACTCTTCAATTATATTACCTTAAGGAATGCTGATGAACACTGGCTACTGTGATCTTTGCGTAACATAAGACTTCTGTGAATTAGTTCCTCTCAGAGCACAGGACTTGAGAAAAATATATGATCTTCACTTAAACATACGCAATGACAAAAAATGAATCACTACTTTTGATAAAAGTCATCAGTGTTTACTGTTTTTGCAAAAAATTACATCTCACTTCTTTTCTGAATTTGTCAAGCTATACTTTAAAATCTCAACCATTTGATCCTTTTTACCTCTGTCTGCCATACAGGAGGTGAAGTTCCATTTTTCCATCACATCTTTGCTCTCTCGTATATGGCACTGACCAAGTCATTTCTTAATGCTTTCATTGTAAACTAAACAGATGTATCTTCTTGAGTTTTTCCCTGTAAATTTCCCATCTTTCATTCATTCAGTGGCTTTTCTCTAATCTTTCCGTAGCTTTCCTGACCTGTGTATTCTACAAAATGAATTTAGTATACCAGCAGTAGACAGATCAGTCCCTGATAGGGAGGTAACATCCTTTCTTCTTCTTCCTTATATTCTTCTGCTTATACCTGTGAGGATCACCTTTTTGGCTACAGCATTATATTAAGAGTTTGTGTTTAACTTCCTGTCCATTGAGATCACCTGACAATTCTCTGACTGCAGTAGAACAGGACAGTGTTCCCCACCTTGTAACTATGGCTCGTATTCTGTGTTTCTTGATGTATGACCTTAGACTAAAATATATATATATTGCAGCTTGTGGCCAGTAGTAATTCAGATTTTTTTTGTTAAACTTTTTTTGAGATTGGCCCAATGCCAACTATTTTATGCTCTTCTGGAGATTACTCCGTGTTTTGAAAGTCTTACTGATGATCAGTATTACTGTTCTGGAGACCTCCTAAGTAAGTTCTCTAAAGAGCTCTTGCATGCAAATTTTCCGGATAAAGATATGCTTTGCTGTACTTGTTGCTGTGTTCAAAATTCTTCTGAATTAATTTTGAAAAGGAAACTATACTATCATTATTACATGTTATGATATATATTACCTGTTGGTTTTTGTTGTTGTTGTTATTCAGATACAGGACACGCTTTTCCTAGATTGTGTTTCGAAAGCCGTTAGAGACTTTCCTGTAGTCTACATAGGAAATAATAGATCCCATAGTGGAACCTTCTGAATGATTTTATACAAGTTCCAATGCAATTCTTGCTCCTGTGGCCCCAGGAGATGTGTTTTCATTCAGCTTGCTTGAGAAAGAAGAGTGGGACTTGTAGACTCCTCTGCAGTCCATTCTGCATGTAAACATTTGAATCTATGTTTATAGACAGTGGGAATAAGGTTCCAGTTTCTGTAAGGCGAATGTAGGAGCAGAGGAACATGCGCTCTGTTCTTAGTGATTTTACTGCTTGTTTTAGTATGAAGGGACAGCTAAACACGTATCTTCTTCCTGTGTCATACCTAGTATGATTTATTTCTCCAGGAATACTCTATTTAGAAGGAAAGCGTAGTTTTCAGCAAAGCCCTGATCTTGGCCCAATTTAGTAGTTCTACTGGTGAGGCACAAGGAGGACAACTGACTGCTGGAGTTCACACAGCAATTCAGTAGGTCAGTGTGTATTAGAACAAAGAAATCTGATGACTTACCACTCTTTCTCTCCACTATTAACCTCGCTCCTCTACAACTGAAATAGCATTCCCTTTGTTTTTAAATTCAACTCACCTTAATCCAAGCAGAAGGTGTTAATACAGCATGATAGTTCTCCAAGCAGAAAGTATTAATACAGCGTGATAGTTCAAAAGTGGCAGCATGCAATTTAAAACTGTAGCATGGCCTCTGATTTCCCAAGTGGCAAGCGAAATGTATTAAGAATTTTAAAGAAGGCTGCACCAGCCAGTGAAAGTGAGGCCTGTCTCTGGGTCTGTATCCCTCTGTGCAATTGTGCGTCAAAGCCACTGTGAAGGGAAGCTTGTCTTTTCGCTGAAGGATGTCTGCCTGGCCATAGCAGGTGACGGTCATCTTCATTATGTCATTCTTAGCCCTTCGGAGCCCAGTTTTCCCCACCTGAAAGCTGGGAAATGGGATATTGCTTGGGAAACTGACTTACTTTATGAACTACTCTCCAATCATTGACGAAAAGTGTTGTGTACGAAATGCACACTGGAATCGGCAGTCTATACTCCTTAGTTTGTGAAACTAGCATTTCTCCTGTAGCTGATATTTTGGACACACTGTTATCATATTTGGTTGCCTTAGACTTCCGGGTGTTGCTTTAACAGATGCATACGATACTTCATTTTCTCAGGATGTTACTTTGGTCCGGTCATATATTAAACTGTGTGTTCATCATTTGTTATGCTAATACTGCTGTCCATTGTAACAAACTGTTTGAAGAATTGATATGTTAAACCCTGATGCTGCAATTACTTCATTTTCTGCAGTACTTTCTCATTCGCCTTTTGACACAACACATGATCCCTCATGGTATTTTTGTTGAAGATGTGCAAACTCTCTCCTTTGCATCTCTTCCACCTACAATATATGTAAATGTGCATTTGAACATGAAGTCACATATGTTTAATGATGAGAAAGTAATATTTTTTCCAGATGTAGCATGGAGCATCACAATATGCTTTTTTTAGGGAAAAGTAAGTATATCTATGTGTGGATCCTGGGATAGGATTCATCAAACTAAATATATGCATCTGAGCTGGTCACCCAAGGCTCTCTGGCAATCTAGTCAATACAGTCAATGGAGTGCTGGGCAGGATTCTTCTCAGCCTGAGTAAATGCCTTCATTTGGTCAGATAAATCATGTCCTGTGCTCCTTCACTGCTGGCTGGAGATAAAGAGAATTTGGGGGGAAAAAAACATCTACTTTGAGAGCGCCCAATCTTTGATTAGTCGATAACAAGTGCCCATTTCAAATGATTGGCATAGGGCTGCTGAGATCAAGTCTACTTTATGAAGGGCTAGGAAAAGTGCATGAAAAATAAAGGGGGAAGGAAGGATTGAATGATTACCTAATTACACAAGTCAGTCTGTTGCTGTGTGATACATTTAAGAACTTCAGGCTCTCAGCATTCTTACAGCATTTTGGCTGAAACATCCCATGAAGATTTTTATTTTATTCTGGTAAACAAATAGAAAAAAAAAAACTGAAGGACACTGGGTCAATCAGACTTCAGCTGTGTCCTCTTTTCATGAGTGCTGAACTACTTGCTCAAGTATTCGTAGTCTGCACATAAGGAGGTAATCGTTGCTTTGCAAAAGCTACAACCACAGTGAAAGAAATATGTGGATATTAAATCACCATTATTAAGTGTGCCAGAGGGAGAATATGTGCATCGAGTCTCTTCATGATCCTGGTACTGCAAGAATAACAAGTAGCATCATAATGTTTACTGAAAAAACAAGCAAACCATGACTTTGAACCAATGCGTCATTTTTTGGGCATTCTTAACAAGAACTAAGTCCCTTCCTAGGTCCTTAGAAATCAGTAGCAAAACTATCACTGATGTCATTTGGGAGCGGGAACATACTGTTGGTTTGGTTTATTACTGAAGATAAGATACTGTCATCTTCATACAATATTATTATGCAGTGCTACTGCATAAGACTATTCAAAAGCCAGTCCAAAACTAAGTGAAAAATAGAATGGCTCAGTGCCAAAATAGAGCATTGTTTGCATTAGATGGGACATCTCAAATGAAGAATCCTTCCATTCTCTAGGAGTATGCTGTGGTTTGTGCTGAAAAGGAATAGGGAGAAAATAAAAACTAAAGGAGTGCAACAAACAAACTCAGAGGCACAAAATTTCAGCTTGTAAGGAATGAGGAGTAAAGCCTAAGACAGACAAGTTGGCAGAATGTCAGAGAAACAGAATGTAGAAAGTCCTTGGAAGTAATTTTGCAAATAAAAAGAGCCATTTGTCCATTCCTTTTTAAATGAATACAAATGTAGCCAGAATGATACATTAATATGGTGGTTTGTTTCTGCCTGCATTCTCTGAATTTTAAAGACAACGTATTTAATAAGATCACAAGCAAGGAAATGTTAATAGTTGTTGGAGACCCAAGAGGTGATTAAGAAATGAAAAGGGTTTCAGAAGTGACATGGAGAAGGTAAAGACAATTTCAGCAAATGTCCTAGAAGGTGCCATTAGATTTACAAACAGAAGATAGAGAAGACATTTAAAATTCCACATAATAGGAGAGTTCCTTGAAGACTTGAAACTTGGAGTTGTTTTCTTCTCAGATTTGCTTCACTTTATTACACACAAAGCTGCTTTATTGTTGTGCTTTGTGTGCTGTGTTGCTTACTTAAGGATGCACACACACACACACACACACACACACACACACACACACACACGTACGCACGCACACAGAATGGTTGAGGTTGGAAGGGACCTCTGGAGATCATCTAGTCCAATCTCCCTGCTCAGGCAGGGTCCTCTAGAGCACATTGCCCATGACAGGGTCCAGATGGTTTTTGAATATCTCCAGAGAAGGAAACTCTATAACCTCTCTGGGCAACCTGTTCCAATGCTCAGTCACCCTCACAGTGAAGAAGTTTTTTCTCAGGTTTAGATGGAACTTCCCGTGGTTCAGTTTGTGCCCGTTGCCTCTTGTCCTATCTCTGGGCACCACTGAGAGGAGTCTGGCCCCATCCTCTCAACACCCTTCCTTCAGATGCTTACATATGTTAATCAGATCCCCCCTCAGTCGTCTCTTCTCCAGGCTGAACAGGACCAGCTCCCTCAGCCTTTCCTCATAGGAGAGATGCTTCAGTCCCTTCATCATCTTCATAGCCCTCCGCTGGATTCACTCCTGGAGCTCCATGTCTCTCTTGTATTGGGGAGCCCAGAAGTGGACACAGCACTTGAGGTGTGGCCTTCCCAGGGCTGAGAAGA